ATATATAAATGTACTAATTCTTTTCCTAACTGATATTATCAATTAATAAAAAAAAAAAAAAAAAAAAAAAAAAAAAAAAAAGATATTAATAGAAATAGTAACTTTGACATTTTGGAAATTTTGTTGTTTTGTTTTATTTGCAAATGAACTCTTCAGCTTGATCAGCTAGTTCATTAATTAATTTTAGAAATACTAGTTTTAAAAAGTAAGCTTCATGCTTTCTTTCAATTTCAAAAATAGAAAGTCAAGTGTGAGTAATTTTTAAATTTCACTATCTTTTTTTGAATAAGTAGTATAAGATTATTTAAGGATTAGATTAAACAAGTTAGAAAAGTTATATTTGTTTTTATTAATGTGAGGATATTCTTTCAAGTTATAGTTGAGTATATAGAAGTTTGTAAGATGAATACATTTAGTTCATCTTTCAAAGTAATTATTGGGCTCTTGAATAGTTGTTTCAGTAAGAAGAAATTTTTTGAGTTAGATAAAGAATTGTTGTCTAATCCTATCTTTTAAAGTATTATAGACTTTTTGTTAGTTTAGAGACTCAGTGAATTAATAGTTGAATATGGAAAAGAAGTTTTTAAACTATTTATTAAAGTGCTTAAAAGAGTTTTTAAGAGATAGAATATTTTTGACTTCTAAAAAAGTAGATTCTAGTATGTTAAAAAGAAGTTGAATATTAAATTTTTTATTGGATTTAATAGTTAGATAATTTTCTTCTTTGTTAGTAGTTACTATAGAGGCATTAATAATAAAATGTTTAAGAATAAAATTGAAGTCATTAGCAAATTTTTTGTAGTTTATTGCATAGTAGTTATCAGATAAATAAAGGTAAATACAAGCTAAGTTAATACAAAATTGCATTCAGTTTTTAGTTTTGTAAAGAGAAATTATTAAAAGTAAAGCAAAAATAAAACTATAGTTAAATTTAGTGAATAATATAGTTGTAAATTTGTAGATAAGTTTTTTAAGAGTATTTTCAAGTATATTGAATAGAATAGTTGTATTAGAATCAATATTATGAGTGGTAGGGGAATTTGATTTCATGCAAAGGAGAGTGGTAGATGGAATGGTTGAGTATTAAGCTGAATTTCTATTTTGTTAGTACCTTGTTTAGCTAATAAGTCAGCGATGTTGTAAAAAGAATTTTTTGAGTGTGATTTAGTTTTGTGAGTAGTAAATTGGATATTTTTCTTTTGAATAAGGTAGTTTAAAATGTGGATAATATCCCAGTTGTTTGTTTTGGTTTGTGTTAAATAGTTGTAGGGTAAGTTGTTTTTTAGTATATAGATTACTGAGAGATTATCCAAGTGTAGGTGGATTTTGTAGTTTGATGGTAGTGTTAGAAAGAGGTAGATAATTGTTGATAATTCAGCTCTTGTGGAATTTGGAGCATGAGGTATCGATGTATTAAATTTTATTTGAGTATTGTTTTGGAGAATCCATGTAATACCGGTTTTGATATTTGATGTTTGTGAATATTTGATTGATGCATCTGTGTAGAAGTGAAGAGTTTCTGAATTTAGTAGAAGGATTTGATTATGTAAGTTTATGAGTTGGTTTTGGTAAATTAGATTAGTAATTGTATTTTGAATTAGGGATATATCGGGTGAGGAAATGATTAATTCAGGTAAAGTAGGAGTTGGAGAGTTGGTTAATGTAAGATAGATTTTTTGTAAGGCTTGTAATTCTTGTTGGTTAATAGAGAGTTTGAATTGGTTTTTTTCTTTTTGTGTTTTGCACTTTATGTTAATTGTTTGATTGTAGTTAATTTGTAATGTGGTAGGTGTAGGAGAGATATGAATTAAATTTGAGTTAGAGAGAATGAGTTGGAAGTTCTGGAATATTGTTTGGGTTGTTGTAAAGAATCACTCAATGACTTGAATAAATTATTAGAAATTGAATCAAATGATGAGCTTGCTTTTGAAATTCGAAAAGCTAAGTTTTTCTATAATTTGTTCGATGAAATTGAACAATTACATGCAAGGCTTAATATTAAGTTATACTTGGAAGCATATAAGGAAGAATATAAAAAATCTATCCCTACTTTTGAACAAATCATTGCAGACACAAATGAATCGAAAGAAACATATACATATATTATGCGAGGATTAATCTTTCGCATGTTACTTAATTTTGAACAATCAATTTTGGAATTTGATAAAGCACTGATAATTGAACCTAATAATGCGTTTGTGCTCAGAAATCGTGGAGACATTTATAGACTATTAAGTAGATATAATGAGTCTCTTATAGATTTGAATAAAGCATTGGAAATTGAAACTAATAACGCGAATACATTAAGAAATCGTGGAAATACTTATAGAATGCTAAACCAATACCAAGAATCACTTGCAGATTTGAATAAATCTTTAGAAATTGATCCGAATGATTTGTCAAGTTTAGAAATTCATATGATTACTTCAAAAGAATATACAAATGAATGTATCCGACATTATCTTAAAAACGATACTACTGATTGGACATCTGGTAATAAGTTTATAGATGACTTTATTCGAGATAGTTATACGAGCTCAACCCTAGATACAATTATCGAATGGGTACCTATGGATCATTTTAAAGATTTTGAATTTAAAGCAAAAGGTGGTTTTGGATCGATATTTATGGCTACTTGGGTTGATGGTTGGATTGATGGTTGGGATCAAGAAGCTCAGAAGTTTGTAAGATCAAAACCAGGAAAAGTTGTTTTAAAAATGTTAGATAAATCTAATAATGCTAACATAGATTTTTTTAAAAAGGTAAATTCTATTCAATTTAGTAATCTTTATTTAGTTATCTTAATAAATAATCCAATTGAATTAATTTAAATTAAACATATTTATTAGGCTATATCTAATGTAACACTCACAAATTTAAATTGTGTTAAATGTTACGGCTTAACAAAACACCCAGATAGTTTAGAATACATGTTAATCTTAAAATATTTGAATAACGGGAATCTCAATACGTTTTTATTCAATAAAAACAATAAATATGGCTGGAAACGAATTTATTTAATCCTCCAGCAAATACTTAATGGGCTTTGTTCTATCCATCATCTTAATATGATTCATAAAGATATTCATCCTGGAAATATTCTTTCAGATCAGGCAAAATGGTATATTAGTGACTTTGGAATTTGTGGTCCTGCAGATAAAAACCCAGCTGATCAAATATTTGGAATTATTCCATATGTTGCGCCTGAAGTTTTATACAATAAAAATTATTCGACAGCATCAGACATTTATAGTATAGGAATAATTATGTGGCAACTCGTAACCAGACGCAAACCATTTGATGATCATAATTACGATATTCATCTTGTAAGAGAAATTTGTAATGGTCTCCGTCCATTAAACGTATCTACAATCTCCGATGAATATAAATATGTTATGGAAAGATGTTGGGATGCAGATCCTTTGAAACGGCCAAATGCATCTGAATTAATTGAATTTTGTTATAAAATGCTGGATAAAATCGACAATGGAGAAATTATAACGTCACGTCAAGATTTTCTCTGTTCTCAAACAAATTTGTCTATTAATAAAAGTGAAATTATTGATTACCAAGATATTCCCAGCCCTAAAAATAAATACAATTCAGGTAATAATATATATTAACTTCTTATTTCTCCTATCCCTTTTATTTAATTTTGTTGATTTATTCTAGATAACGAATATGCGCAGACAAACATTAACGATTTATTAGTAATAAAACAAGTGATAAATAATGGTATGTAATGTGAACATTAGTACAGTAAATATAATTTATTTTAATGCTTTATTTAATATACAATTATTTTAAGAAAATACGAAATTCTATAATAAAAATGAAGAATACAAATACTTGCATGCAAAAAATTATATTTCAGTAATTTTAAATAATAACTTGCAAAATTCACTTAAAGGTAAATATTATTAATTTCTGCTAATTAATAATTTTTTTCCAAAACTATTGTTTACTGACTATTATCTATGCTAATAATAATAATAAAGGTATTGGACATGTACAACAAATGAATGATAATTTGTTAATGCCACATAAAGAAGTAAACAGAAAAGATAAACATATAGAAGTAAGCAAAGAAGATATACGTGAAAAAGTAAGCCGAGAAGGTAATAAATGCAATGCAAAATTTAATCCTTTGTTGGTTATTTCAAATTATTATTTTTATTAATCTATACCAATATTAAACATATTAGCAATTGACGGTAAATATCCTACATGTATTATGATTATTGTAATTATATAGTGTGGTTTATTGGGTTTTTTTCTTGAGAATTCGATAATTTCTTTTATTATACAATGAAATGTCACTTGTTGTCTGATTTCATTCAGATAGAAGATACATGTCACTTTCTTAATCAATATTTTTAATCTCATAATATATATATATAGAAATGAAAATTCCGCTTTTTGGATCAACAACTAACAAAAATTTAGATTTGGATATATTGAAATCAAGTCTCTCTGATTTAAATAAAGCATTAGAAACTGAACCAGATAGTACAGAATTTCTCAAAAGTCGCGGAAGCGCTTACTTAATGCTAGATCGATATGAAGAATCGCTCACAGATTTAAATAAGGTATTGAAAATTGAGCCATATAACGCAAAAATCCTTAGTCTTCGTGGAATAGTTTTTAGAAAACTAGAACGATATGAAGAATCACTTAGAGATTTAAATAATTCATTGGAAATTGAGCCAAAAGACACACAAACTCTAGGACTTCGAGGAAAGACTTATAGAAAATTAGGTCGATATGAAGAATCGCTTGCAGATTTAAATTTAGCATTAAATATTGATCCGACTAACACACAAAATCTCAGACTTCGAGCAAAAACTTATAAAAAACAAAATCGATATGAAGAATCGCTTGCAAATTTAAATAAAATATTGGAAATTGAACCAAAAAATGCAGAAATTCTTAAACTTTGCGCAGTAATTTATAGAAGACTAGATCGATTTGAAGAATCGCTTGCAGAGCTAAATAAAGCATTGAAAATTGAACCAAAAAACGCAGAAATTCTCAAACTTCGTGGAAAGATTTATATAGAGCAATTTCGATTTAGAGATTCATATATAGATTTAAATAAAGCATTGGAAATTGAGCCAAGAAATACAGAAATTCTTAAAATTCGCGGAATAATTTATAAAAAACTGGAACGAAATGAAGATTCGCTTGCAGATTTTAGTAAAGTATTGGAAATTGATAAAAATAATACGGAAACCCTCAGACTTCGCGGAATCACTTTTAAAAAATTAGGACGATATGAAGAGTCATTAACAGATTTTAATAAAGCACTTGAAATTGAGCCAAAAAACATTGAAATTCTCAAACTTCGCGGAACAATTTATAAAAAAATGGAAAAATTTGAAGAGTCGCTTATGGATTTTAATAAAGCGTTAGAATTTGAACCAAATAACGCAGAACTTCACAAACTTCGCGGAGTAATTTATAAAAAACTAAATCGATTTGAAGAGTCACTTGTAGATTTTAATAAAGCATTAGAGATTGAACTAAATAACACGGAAATTCTCAAACTTCGCGGAATGGTTTATAAAAAACTTGATCGACATGAAGAGATGTTTGCAGATTTTAGTAAAGCATTGGAAATTGAGCCAAATGAATTGGAAATTCTCAAATTTCGTGCGAAAACTTTTATAAAACTTGACAGATACGAAGAATCACTTGCAGATATAAATAAAATATTGGAAATTGAACCATATAATACAGAAATTCCTAAACTTCGTGGAATAATTTACAAAAAACTAAATCGATATAAAGATTCTCTTGCAAATTTTAATAAAGCACTGGAAATTGAACCAAATAACGTAGAAATTCTCACACTTCGTGGAATAGTTTATAAAAAATTGCATCGTTATAAAGCGTCGATTAAAGATTTTAATAGTGCACTTGAAATTGAGCCGAATAATACAGAAATTCTTAAACTTCGTGGAATGATTTATAAAAAACTTCGTCGATATGATGAATCGCTAGTAGATATTAATAAAGCACTGGAAATTGAGCCAAATAACGCAGAAATTCTCAAATTAAATGAAGAGTTACGTGTTGATTCGAGTAGAACACTAATTGATAACTGTAGTGTTCAACACTGCAGTATAACATAATATATAACAAAAAAACAAAAACATAGTAAACATACTTATACAGTAAAGGCCTACTATAAATGTATGCCTCTAAATTCACATTTTTAAATTTTGCCTACCTGAGGGGATGTATTATGGAGAGTTAACTGCAAACTAAAGATAGGTTGGTTTTACAGTAGATTTATATATGAAATCGAAATCGAAACCTAACTGAAACTTAAGAATGTTCGGGAAAATTTTTTAAGACCCAAAAACCTCAATAATTTATATAATTTTTTTATTATTATATTAATTTTAATCTTCATACCATACGTAGTATTTTTGTACTAATCAATTATAATTTTATGTAATTTTTATACAGTAATAATATTTTATCAAAATATTTTTGATCTACTTTCAACATCTTAATAAAGTTATTTAATTAACTCCATAAACTATAGTAAAATGCTGCAATGCCATCATTAAAAATTGTATAATAAATTTTAATCTACATTTTCAATTTGAATCAGTATACGTACTTGGTTCATAATAACTTTAGTATTGAGTAAAAAGTTTAGATTATTTCTCAAGAAGTATTCGATATTTTTTTATTCTGTAAATTGTATATACTGTGAGGGGCAAAACGTGACCTAGCTGTAGGCACGTGAGTAAGTAAGAAAACGTGACCTAGCTGTAGGCACGGCAAAAGTATCATTTTTGGTACATCAGTGGTTATACCTAAAATGTACCCCAAATTTGAGTTACGTTATTGATGCATTTTAGTTTTGTGACATAGTAGCTAGGTGACAAATAATATAGATCAATTTTAAAATCGTATTTATTAATGGATGTGACGCGTTATATACTTTTTCTTACTATGCAAAAAATGCGTCACACTAGTACCTTGCATAGTATGTTTGTCGATCTATGGATTTTGTGTATAAATACAAAAAAAGCGATCTTTTTCTTTACATGAAGTTGAAGCAACCTCCAATACCATTTCCTTGGTAATAACTCTACCAAAATCAGTTACCTTAGAATAACTTATATTGTGACTGCAAGTTGTACTATTATCATTATTCTTTATGAAGTATTATTCTCTTTACATCAGCATAGCTATTAACTAAAAAAAACTACCTTTTATTAACTTTTGACTGCAGTCACTATTGTACTATTATTTTTGACGAAGTGTATTCAATTTACATCACCACATTAACCCACCAGTTTCTTTCCAAAAAAACAAAAAAAACAATAATAATAATAATAATAAAAATGTCTTTGGAAACTCAAATAATAACTAATGATGATAATACAGTTTCTGTTTCTTTTAGGTATGAAGTCAAATCATATATATTACATTATTCTCTTTTAAAGAACACTCACTTAAAGTCACAAAGTCAGTTGAAAATACCACAGCTAATAAAATAAGGGTTAATTGAACTTTGTAGAGTTGAAGGTGTTTCTGATTTTATGGAATAGAAAGTTGTCAGAAACAAAAAATCAACTAATCATATTGATGATATTATAAAACTTATAGTTAAAGGTCATGAATATATATAAGAAATTCAAACTGGAGTTAAGAAGGATAAACTATGTTGGTCATAGATTATGTTTTGTTCAGGAAATAGAAATAAATGTTAATATAAATGTTAAGAGATTGGACAATATAAATCTAGTTATTCAAACTATAACTTGCATAACAATTTACAAAATAGAAATGATATATACTATTGCTTAGTTCATATTTACTCATTTTTACAATTATCTTATCTTAATTCAAGCTATCTACTTTATATTAAAATAGAGGGTACTCACTTCTCTTCTAGTTTAATAAATACTACTGATATTCTAAAAATTTTAAGAATCAATTTAATGTATGAAGTTAAAGATAAGATTATTATTAGTTACTATATGCTGATCATAGAACAATAAAGGGAATTAAAGAAAAGCTACTAGTTTTATTAAATAGTGCTAGTGAAGAAGAACTTAACAATACATTATCAAATAATCATGAAATTTGCAACAATACAAAATTAAAACAGTTTATCACTTATAAAAATAAATATTTAAAAGATAAATCTGGTCTATAGACAATACTTCACTATTTAATTGAAATAGAATTAAAATCCAAAGAATATGTTTTATATTATCAACAACCAGACTTGTCAAAATCTGAAGATTCTTCTGATTACTACTACTAATTAACTGTGTTAGATAAATTTTAGCTAAGAAATAGTCAAACATTTAGACAATTATATTTTAAAATTAATAAAAAATATGATCTTAATATTGATCATACTCTTGTATTAACTATAGTTATTGAAAATAATACTGTTCATAGAACTCCATTAACTTTTAGTATATATATTTTTCAATTTATACTAGTGCTCTGCAAGTGCTAGATATTATACTATTAAAACATAGTATCTAAAGTATTATGTTTTAATAGTACTATATTTAGCATTTGCAGAACTTTAATTTATATATATTAATTATTAATTCTAATATTGATTTTAAAAATATAATTAGATTTAAGTAACAAAAAAAATAACTGGACAATATGCTTAGCTATAATATCTGTTAAAAAAAATATACCTTGTAATAATTTTATATGTAAATATTTATAATATTATAAAGATCTTCTAAATAAAAAAGTATTTTAAAGAATTCATGATTATATATCTAATAAAGTATGAAATCTATTTGTAATAATAGATAAATATCAGCTAAGTAAACTAAAAGTAGAAGGCATCTTATGTAGAACTATACTTTGTTAGTTTTATATTATACAAATATTTGAAGAAAATTTAAAAATATAGAATATTTTATACTCATTCAAGTTAGTTTTATAAATTTATTATTCATATATTTTTTAAATAATTTTAATTTCAATTTCAATTTTTTTATTTTAAGATACCAAATTGTACTGAGATTTAAATTTGTAGGTCATTGCTGTACTAAGAAGATGCATTTGAAATAGCTTTTTATTATAAAAACTTTATTAATTTACTTTTAATTACTTCAAATCAAAAATTATTACTTATTAAAGACCTAGACAATAATTGGTTATGTGATAAGTAGTAAATAC